TATATATATATATATATATATATGCACTTCCATGTATGCATACACGCCAATAGATAACATGTCCATAATATCTTTGCAGATCTACGTATATATATATATGTATTTATGTATATATACGTACATCTATATAGCATAAATATATACATATATATATATATGCATAAATATACTTAAAGAATGCTGAAGTTGGTGTAAGATGAATAATTACTTCGAGTCTGCCCGCGAGGTGGACGCCGGCTGCCAATACCAAAGAGAGGACATTTGCGTCTGCTGCTGACTCCCTGTCTGCTGCTGCTGCATCTGCTGCTGCTGCTGCTGCTGCCGCTGCTGCTGCTGATGCTTCTCGGGCTGCCTGCAACGCAGCCTGGGCGTCTTCCGCCTCAGCTAAGGAGACAGCGCGGAGGAGAGCAGCCCACGCCTCTCTATAAGCCTTTGCTGCTGCTGCTGCTGCAGCAAAGCAACAGAGCAGCAACAAGCAGCTGCAAAACTCCAAAGCCAAGATCATCACCGGCAGCAAACAGTAGCAGTAGCAGCAGTACGAATACTGTAGCACCACCAGTAGCAGTTGCAGGAGCTGCAGCTACAAAGCGCCGCAATTAATATTAGCAGCAGCAGTAGCAGCAGCTACAACAGCAGCCCCAGCAGCAGCAGCAGCAACACCTCCTGCTGCCTCTTACCTTCCGCGTCTGCATTTCCGCTGTCCAAATCCCTCTGATCATTTGCATGGACTCCCAGCACTCTTGTGCTGGAGGGCCAGAAGCTGTCACCTGTTGCTGTTGCTGCTGCTGCTGCTGCTCCTGCTGCTGTATCTTGTTTTGCTGCACCTGCTGGCGAGGCAGCAGCTCCGCTCATGGACTTCCAGAAGCCGGGGGAACCAGCAGCAGCAGGAGCAGCAGGAGCAGCAGTATTAGCAGTCGCAGCAGAACTAGCAGCAGCTGGAGGACTCAACAAGGGCAGCGGCCCCAGCAAGGAGCCCATGCCTGTGCCAGCAGCAGGAGCAGGAGCAGCAGGAGCAGCAGGAGAGGCAGCCGACTCGTTGCTGCTGCAGCAGCTCAACCGCCCAGCCGCAGCAGCGCTGCTGCAGCCGAGGCGAGAAGGAGATGACAAGAGAGGCAACACTGCGAACAATTGATACACACACTAACTGTAATCTTCCCTTTGCTGCTGCTGTTGCTGCTGCTGCTGCTGCTGCTGTTGCTGCTGCCGTTATTAAGTGGACTTCTTTCTGTTTGCTTACGACCGGTCAGCGCGGCCTCTGCATACAACTGCGGTTTCTATCATACGACTTCGTGCTAATATATATATATATATATATATATATATGTAAATACAGGTATATGTATCTGTGCGTATGCGTACATATCTATATTTACAGCGGCTTCTATGTTTGTATGTCTATATCTATTTACATCTCTTTATATATATGTATGCGTACAATTCCATGCATATATATATATATATATATATATATATATA